CCTTCACTGGTCATTTGTTGCCGATAAGAAGAGCTTGATCTTGTCACTAATTAGGAAAAGGTCAATTTATTTGGTTGGAAACCAGAATTGGATGAGAGCTGGCAGTAACAATTTTCATTGCTCCCCAAATTCTTTCTCTCCTTTTCCATTCCAGTTCAAATCTGTCCCAAAGCCATGCTGTCAAGCAGTCCATCAGTAAGAATAAAGGCAGCAGCCTGTGGGCACTTACCTTGCAGCTCCACTTGGTGCATCAGAAGTGAAAGTAGGTCTCTCACATGTTCACAGACTCTGTCTACACAAAGTTTTGCATCTCAAGGTCTCTTGCCATTGGCCCAAAATGACAAGTAGGATGTTCTATAAAACAGGAGCTTGTCTGGCTTGCACATGGTGTTCCCAGTTTGCTTGTAGCAGCATCCGACAGAATGTTTGTTCATCTAATCATCACTTACCTTGCCATGCCTACCTGGTGCTAAGACAAACAACCTTTTGAAAACCAAGTTCATTCATGAGCTTCCTCTCATGATGCCTATAGCTGCTTTTGTGGTGATCTGCAAGCTTATTTGCTTAGTTTTCTATTTTTAATCATGCATAGACCTACACAAATTAGAAATTAATTTTAAAGCAGACTGTACTCCAGAGTGAACAGATACTTTTTGCACTATTATTCCACTGGCTATTGCTTTTAAGAAAAGTTCCACCAGAGTCTGAAGGGGAAAGGCAATAGGATTTGATAAACACAATGACATCCAGACTCCCTGCTTCAGACTGCAAGGTTTTTATCAGCTGCCAGCAAGAAATGGCTCCTGCACAAGACAGCAGCTCCTATGAGCAAAGCAGCTGCTGACCTGTGTAAGAATTTTCTCTTTGCAGAGGAGATCCACTTCTACCAGGTCCCATGGGAATATGCTCACTGAGAAGAGACAAAGCTGTTTCCTCCCTGGGAGCAGCTGATCTCTGCAGCACTTACAGACAAGGAGCCTGATCTGTGCTGCAGGACATCAGCCTCCTCAGGCTCTCCCACACCCAGGCTGTGCTGGAACTCCTCTGTGCACTTTTGAAGAACAGCAACATCTCAGAATAACAGCACTATGTTACAAACAGCACAGAAAATAATGAGAGGCTGCACAAATACAGATTCTGTATTTTAGTGGTCTGTTTTGACAGGAGACAGTAAAATAATCACTGCATAAGAAATCTGTACAAAATTTCACATGGCTGTTTGTTAGCTCCATTCCAATGTGCAGCACAACCCCTCAGGTGATAAACTCCTTCAGCAGCCCTGCAGGCAGATCTCTAGCAGCTTCTGAGGCTGAATTGAGGCAATCCCTATTCACATCAAGAACAAGAGTTTGGGGAACAAGAGTTCAGTTTATTACTGTGATTCCAGTTCATGGCTGCAGCAAAGACTGGTTGTCCACTTTTTGTACAACACCCATGGGTGCTTGGAAAGAAAGGAATTGCTGGAGCAAATCATAGCTCATCTAGTGGAGTAGTCTATAAAGGTGGTCTTCAAGAGAAAAGCAGACTGGAAAAGAAGAGGCTGTGAGACAGCTGAGAACTGCCTAAGCTTTTCAGGTCACCACCAGCTTCTGCTTTGATGTTGACTGGGACACTGCCCTACTGCCAAAGGAGGAGACAGAACATGCTCAGTAGTATTGGAAGCACCAGCATAAGTGATACCAGGCCACATTCTATGGTTTTCTACATTTAAAATATGAATTCCTGCCCTTAATTTGAATGTGTGTAATGACAGAGGTCAGTATTTTGCCCTCACATGAATTATCTTAATTTGTATCCTGAGGATTTCCTCCTGTATTTTCATCCATGCCTTTCTTGTCCCAAAATTTTCTTTTCATCTAGTGTTAGTGAGGCCAATCCCCACAAAGAGTCAAGGTATTTGTTTTATTTACAGTTCTGCACAGAAAGGGAGGCTGGGTGGCAAATTCACAAAACCAGCACCACAGCTATTAGAACTTTTCATTATTAACACATTTTGGCAAACAAAGGCGTGAATGTTCATTGGCTACAAGTTACATAGGTTTCTTATTAATTTGTATTCCATCTTCTATTAGTTAAAAGATTCCCTCACTTCTCATACTAATTATTCTGTATGCTCAGTTTTTCTGTCCTTTTGAGTCTTGCTCCCTCAGCTCTCTGAGAATGTTTGTCTAAAGTCTGGTGAAATTCTGAATGACTGCAAATATTTGAGGCCATAATCTGTCTTTGCATCTGCGAGACTGGAAATTCTGAACCTTTTGAATGACTAACTTCACCTACAAAAGTTACCTTCTGAGGAAGTTGCAGGTGTGACCAGCAGCATTGCAGAGGGTTATCTTGGTGTGTCTCACCTGCAGCTACATGCTGCATTACTGAGGCTCCTCATAGCATTTGGGAAGAAATATGGTGGGTGATACTAGAAATGTAAGTGTGGATGGACGCTGGAGGACTTTGAAGCAAAGTTAGTTTGTGAGGTGAGCAAGCAAGGAAAAGGTTTGATCAGACGGCTTTAAAAAAGGCTCTAGAGGAAAAGCCCCACCCTTGCAATCGAGCTTTTCTGTTCAAAACAACTTCCAAAATATCACAGCTTTACTTACCTACAGGAAGTCAGTTTCACAATAGACACAGAAAGGTTTGCATTAAGAGCTGCAAGCCCTGGTGGAGTTGCTGAGAAAATCCTGTGTGAGTGTGTGTGTGTGATGGAAGGCATAACATTGGTAACCAAAGGCTCCTGAGACTCACCCAAAGCATGTTCCTGCAGTTCTGCTCTGCACAGTGCAGGAATGGGCTGGTGCTCATTCACTGAGGGCCACGATCTCTAATGCTCATGGACATTGCTGCACATCCCTATGGATTTCAATACTGCATTATGAACAGGGAGTTCTGCTTCCTTGAGAATTCCTTTCATGTTGGCTCTGTATCTGAGCTCTGGTTTTTCAGTCAGTAACTGTCTTTGGCCTCTCTGGCCAAAAATTGGTTTCCACAGCAGAATTCTGTTCAGGATTCCTTCTGTCCAGGGTGAATAGCTTTGAGGTACTGCTGGTTGAACAATTTCTCATAGACTGAAAAGTTTATTTAACAAATTTCCCTATTTTCTGATTATAATGATTCAAGCTGCACAATACATAGACATCAGCAGTTCACTACTTTGCTTTTCCACATGACTTCCCTTCCTGTTCTATGGATTCTCTTTAACTCACATGCAGCTTTTGAAGATAAGACAGATATTTCACAGCAACTGTATCTCTCTTAGGGATTGTCATGGTGTTCTCAAAATCCAAAAGAAAATACATATCTTAGCTATGGAAATGTCTTAGCTATTGCTAAGCAATAGCTACATAAGAAACACCAAACAGTAAAAATGTATGGCCCGACTTAGTTCTCTTTTTCACACACATTGTTTGTGCTGTGACACATTATAAAGAGGAAAGTGAGTTGAAAAGGAGAACTTGTGCTTTTGATTTCTCTGCATTGAAGGGAAGTATCACTTCTAAGTAAATACGGCGCTGCGCAAAGTCTACAGCTAATTTTGGAACCCAGATTATATTAGTAAAATGTCAGTAATTAATGTCACTATTTTTCCCAGGGGCAGTGAGGTAGATGAAAGTGTGCCAATGTAGGCCACATTATGTCCTTCAGCACAAGGCATTTGGGTGTGCCATAAACCACGGTGGATTTTGGTGTCAAGATGGTAAGAAATTTTTGTTTCTACAAATGCAAAAACAAAACCAGAAATAGAAATCACATTTAATTATTGCAAATTGGGACTGTAGCAGCAGAACTTGAACCAAAGCTTAAGCCTCTCTAGTCACCTTTCCCTTAGTTTGGCCTCAGTTACCAGCTTTGAGTTCAAAGGCAGAGTAGTTTTGGCATGTTATTGCTTGGTTTGTCTAAAGCCCAGCAAAAGCCAGGGACAGCTCTATAAAAACAAGGCTACCTCCTTGTCATGATCTTACAGCTCTTGTGGGAAAAGTCTTCAGGAATACTTAGAACACATGGGAAGAGTAAAACAGGAACAAACTTGAAATCTTTATATCTTAACACCCATTCAAAGTCCATCTTGCTTTTGATCTGTCTCCAATCTAGATATAACAGAGATAACAATCCATTGTTTCAGTTGAAAAGCATATCATCTCCTGGTCATGGTGAACACTGCCTGGGAACATCTGAAGGTGGAGTTTGCTTAAGGGGTGAAACTTGCAGAAAATCTGCTTTTCTCATGTTTAAGTGGCAATCATGTACCACAAACTGTTTGCTCAGTTGCTTGTCCACTTCTGGAGGGAACTATCCTATGGAGAGGAGCTCTTTCTCCACAAGCAGCCTGCCATTCTCCCATTAGTGTATCCCCTCACAGCCAGTGACACATTCTGGAGCTCTGAGCAAGCATTTCCACCAGCAGCTGGCAGCTGCCTGGCCTGTAGATGGAGGAGAAGACATTGAGAAAACCTCTTATGCCTTCCCTTGGTTTTCAAGTAGTCTGTGAACATCACAAATGCAAAGATCTCTTAGCATTAGTGTTGGAACAGGCAGTGCACAACAGTATTCATCTTTTTGACAGAAGAACTTCTCATTTATCTGTAGCTAAGAGCAATTAAAAGAAAAAAAATAAAAGAAATTTGTACATTTCCTTGCACCACCACTGGCATTCATATAAGTAGTCCAGTCCACTGGTACACTGGAGCATGTGACATAAACCCCCTGTAATTTCTCTTACACTGAAATAAAATAGAGCAAGAATGGGAAATAGCATACAAATGCAAACTCCAGCTAACAAGGAAAAGGATGCTTGCAAAAAACCACAGCTGGTTTCAAGTTTCAGATTGAAGCAAAAAAACTGGGCAAAAATAATAAAATGACAGTTGAAGAAACCACATATTTTAGGGGCTTCCCTAGAGCTTTTTTGATCTTTGTCAACTAAAACACACACCAGACACAAAAGTTTTCAGAATCCACACCAGACACAGCAGCTCTGCTGTCAGGCAGTTGAATGAAGGAGCACTCACCATGACCCCCATTCCAGTGGTAGTGCTGTTACTGTAACTGCACACAGCGATTGTGGTATCACAGAAAGGTCACACCATCTTCTTTGTCAGGAGCTTCAGGTCCATGCTGCCCCAGTGCTGCAGTGTGGTCTCTGGGCTGCTCTGCCATGGAGAATGAAAGCTCTCCCACCCTTCTGCTGAAGCTGCTCTGCCCTGCGTGAAGATGAAAATCAGACAGTGCATTCTCTGAGAAACCAACAGGTTTGGGTTCTTGCCCTTCACCCAAGCTTTATTTCAGTACTTTTAATTGGTGACTATTTACAGATTTTAAAGGTGTGTGCCTCATGAATTCAGGCCCAGTCACAGGAGAAACACCCTCCAGTTGGGAAGTCAGGCAGAACAGTTTTCATGGGAACAGCTGTGGAGATGTCCAGCACAGCCTGGAACTTCCTCCTCCTCCTCGAGGCTGCGAGGTTGAGGCTTGTCACCTTTCAGGCCATAGAGGAAATTGTGGTCTCTTAAATCATGGCCTTGGGTGTAAAAGGGGGTCACAGGCCACAGACATGAACTTTGCTTTCAGTTTTGCCAAAAGATCAGGCCCCTGCCCCTGGGAGAGGTTCAGAGTTATGTCCAGCAGCGCCTGGTGCATCTTGTAAAGAACAGCCAGCCAGTGTGGCAGATCCCAAGCAAAGCACTTAATGTCCCTACAGCTCATCTGGGGATCTGGGCACCTACAGACCAGTGCAGAGCACCTCCTCCTCTTTGTGCCATTCAAACCTACAGAAATAGTATGGAGTTGGTGAATTTAATACCTCAGATATCCCCTCAAGTTCTCCATATACTGAGGAGTACAAGGAATACCAGGAAGCTGAAGCTATTTGGTGAACTAGAAAAAGAAGTATTAATAAATTAGAAAACACACTATTAAACAATAATGCTGTAGAAGTAGGCATCACAGGCTGCTTCAGAAAAATTCACATGCTCACAGAAAAATTCACAGAATTAAGAATGGCAGGTACAAGTTTTTCATTTCATTGCATCACCAGATTAGAAACCCTTTCTTTCTTTGTGTTTTGTCTGTATTCTCTTTTAATTTTTTCTGATAAAGTAATTCCCTTTATTCATCTCAGTTTAGAATACACAAGAAAAACAAGTGCAAGCAAGTATGGCAAGAGCTGCTTAGCCACAGCCTCCACAACAAAAGATGGAGTGGAAATTGCCAAAGAGGTTGGAGAACTGTCCAGCAAGATTCTCAGGGAGCTGAGTGAGGCTCTGTAGGTGCTACTAGCAGCCACAGGGAACAAAAGAAAAAGGAAACATGTAAAAAATCTAATGAATAAGCAAATTTAGAGCTTTCATAAGCAAATTTAAGTTTTATTTCTCCAGATAAACCAGTAGAAGAAACAGTGCTCAATTTCTAATCAATTTTCCTATTGTACTAAGCTTCTCAACTTTTTGATAGCCATTAGAGTATTTTTATTTATTAGATGATGATGATGATTATTATTATTATTGTTGTTGTTGTTGTTGTTATTATTATTATTATTTCTCAGTAAGACTATAGAGGCTTAAGGCAGGAGAACTGTTGGATACTTGTGTGAGAGTGTACAGGTATTTGAAGTTCATGTAGCAAAGGAGGGAAGGGACTCTAAGTGCCTTTTCTGATGAAATCACTTCCACTTGGGAAATAGATCTGGGAAATGGAAGGGGATAGATAAGCTCTGCTCACTGCAGTAGATCTATGAAGTTGTTTAAACCAAACTTTTGACAGCCCAAGTTCCTTATTTTTGGAGTTCCCAATATGAGAAATGAAAGATGACTTGCAAAATTAACAAATACCAACTAGTGCAGCTGAGAGTGACTGAAGCTTTGAACACATCAGGAGATATATAAATCTGAACACACTGAAAAATCTGCATCCAAGTGCTGGAAATGCCCCCCAGCTGGAGGAGAGCTGGTGACTTTGCCTTGGTGTGCCCTTGTTTTGGATGTGTCTGAGGGACCAGAGCACAGTCTAAGCAGGAAAATGACACTGAAGTAAACTCAGCAATAATTTCAAAGCCTTTTGCTTCCTGGGTGACTGCACTAGAGGTTCCTACAGCATGAATTATATAAGGCCTTAAAGCCACACAGGCTAAATAAAATAAGGTATTTAATAAATATGTAATGTTTCCCTGGTTTTTCCCTAACTGGAAGGAATACAGCTGCTACTGCACTTGTTAGAATCAAAACCAGCTACTGTGCAATAATGGAAATTTATAATCCTTTCTTCACATACTCAAAAATTATTTTTCACCTTTTTGGGCATAGCTAAAGGAAGGATCAATACTTTTGTTAAATTCCCATTTATATTTAGGGCCCAAACTTCCTCATCTGACATATTTTTCTGTTACCCATTTCTTACTAATGGCAGAACTTGATCTCTACTGAGAATGTATTGTTGTATATGAAAGAAATTGTCCTGATCCAACAAGTAAATCTTGTGGCTTCTCCCCTGTTAATACTGAGCTGCCAATTTCAACAATTCATGTATGTACAGCCAACAAAATTGATAGAAATCTGGGCCAAAGCAGGAAATCATATTTGACAAATGAATTAGAAAGTGATGCCATTAGAAATTTATCTATTTAGTGCCTTCTCTGATTTGCCCTATCACACCCTAATATAAACATTTTATTGAAGCACCAACAAATCTTTTAAGTGTACCTCTGATGAATAAAAGTGAGGTAAAAGTTATTACTGGATTAACAGCATTTTCCAGCATTCAGGGGAATAAAATACTAAACTACAAACTCCATTGAAAAGCCTAAACCAGAGAAAACCAATCAAGTTACTCACAGTACCCTTAGGCAGTTTACAGGGGAAGTCTGTGCTAAGTCTCTGCAAGATTCTAGGGAGCGTTCCAAGGATAAAGAGAAATCAGCTGACTTCCCGGCAATAGAGTGAATAAAGCACCATACTAACCTCAGAGGAAGCTCTATTTATTGTTGAATCAGAGAATGGGAGAGATTTTTCAGATATTCATATCAAGACTCTGATAGCATTCTAAAATAGAAATGTCACTATTTATTGTGGGGAGGGAATTCCCTGTAAGGTAATGGCAAGGACACAGCAGCATGTGATGGATTTTTGAACTATTTTATGCTATATACTTCTGTCAGCAATTAAGGGAAATCTTAATGTATTTCATAAATGGTCTGGGTTTTCCTGTGTAAAAACCTGAAAATCAAACTACAATTCATAAATTCAGTGTAATGATCTCTTCATCTGGGGCTGCTGAAGCAGTATTTGAGGACTTGCATCATCTTTAGGGTGTTGCTAATCTTTCCAATGTTCAAACAATTTGTAGTTAAGCTACAGCTCAGAAAAAGTGTTGAAAATAGGAAAATACAGTTTGTTCTGTAAAATCCTAAAAAACATCAGAAGCTTCTAATGAGGTTTCACATGGATGCATTAATTTTAAAACAAGGAAGAATTCTTTTCTAGCAAACCCCAAAGAAAGAAATTCATTTGACCAATGATTCCTCTAGAGACCAAGGATTCTTTCTAGCCCTCATTTGCTCTAAAACAAAATGATGAGCCATGCAATACCTTGAATAATCACACAGCACAATTTCATATAGCTTCTTAGAGAATTTACCAAAGCTATTTGCATGGTACAGGGACAGTTTCCTGTGGGATTACCCCATAGAGTTTGTTAGGAAAACAGATAATCCCTACAGTGAGCCTGGGGAGATAGGCACTGGAAGGAGGGAAAACTAAGGAAACATTTATCTGTCTTAAAATCAAAACACAAAACACAGGTTTTGCTTTTTCCCCAGTTATTTTATCACTCATGAAATCAGTGTAGTAAATCAGACACCTAATGCTGTGACAGGCTATTTGTCCCTTCTCCCATAGAGGTGTTGTTCTACGTGATGAGGGACACAGGACACAGTTATTTTCTGGTGCCTTAGAATGAAAATGCAATGGCTTGGGCAATACAGCAACATCACAGAATTACTAAATTCAAAGGATCAGTTTTGCTGGCAGAACTGCCCTGAGAGGTGCAAGAGGAGCTGCTGCAGGAGCTGAGGTCAATGATCTGGCAGGCAGGAGGATGCAAGACCTCCCAGCCCTGCTGAGGCTTCTGTCAGTGACTTCTGGGAGCTGCTTCTGAGTCAGAAGCCAGATCTGTTTGAGTTACTGTTAATTCATGCCTTGGAAGCAGAAGTGCACGTTGATACAGGAAATGAAGTCAGGGTCAGCTTCAGGTATGCACAGATTTAATAATTGTATCTCATGAGAGCTCTCAAAGAGAGCTGTCTCTTTGTATCTCCTTGCCTCGTGAAAGCCCACTTTAGTATTTGAATATTGTAGGCTATCATGAGCCATCCCCTCAAATTGCACGTGCCTATTCAGTTTTTTAGTGGCAGTCTACTGTACTTACTAGCACACTGTACAAGTGGTTTCAACAGTATCAAGGCCAAAATATGACAATCAAAATATTAACATCATTAGTCATTAAGTACCTTTCCTGCCTTACAATTATAATCCTAAGAACAGTGTATCAGTTTCTCTTACCTATTAGGTATTGCTTTGTTCCAGTAAGTCTTGTGCAAAGCTGCTTTCCAGTTGACATTTTTGAAAAGTTCACCTCAGTAGCTTCTTACCCAAGAACCTAGTTTAGTACTTACTTACCCAAGAACCTAGTTTAGTTAGATGTTTTTAGTTAGATGTTTTCGAAAAGACTAAGAAGTTATTATTTTGCAGGCTTATTTAATGCTAGTAGCTAGTCAGATCTACATGTGGCCGTGGTTAATCCGATCTTCCTTGACCCTCCGCTTCATACTAAGCTGTCCAGACTATTTCCCCCCCATTGTTGTGAAACCCTTACCCCTGTCCTGAAGTTTGGTTGTCTTGTTTCACTTCTTTATCTCTGCTGCATAATCCACGTGCATTTTAAATTAAGGCACGAAAAAAATATTTATCATGGAATCATAGAATATCTTGAGTTAGAAGGGATCCACAAAGATCATTGAGTCCAGGTCTTGGTCCTGCACAGGACAGCCCAAGGTCACATCCTGAAAGCCCTGTCCAAACATTCCTTGAGCTCTGTCAGGCTTGGTGCTGTGACCACTGCCCTGGGGAGCCTGTTCAGTGTCCAACCACCCTATGCAGGAAGAACTTTTCCTAATATCCAAGCTAAATCTCCCCCGACACAACTCCAGGCCATTCGCTCGGGTCCTGTCACTGATCACCACAGATAAGGGATCAGTGTCTGCCCGTCTCCTTCCCCTTGTGAGGATGTTGAAGACCACACTGCGGGGCTCCCTCAGCTCCTCCGGGCTGAAGGAGCCGAGTGCCCTCAGCCGCCCTCAGGGGCCGCGTTACCTGCACTGAGCCAGGGGCAC